ATGGGGATGGGATTTTGGACCCGTGGCGTGTGAGCAGAGGGGAAACTGGGTGGGCCCCTGTGATCCCCCGCTGGGGCTGGTGGGTGGGATGCCCTCTTCCGAAACACAGTTCCTGCCCACCGCTCCTTGCATCCCTCGTGCGCTCCTGGGCAGCGGGAGCTAGCTTTGCTCAGCATAGGATAAATGCAAGCATTGGGCGAGGGTTTTGCACACTCAGCAGCTGCAGCCCCTCTCTGGAAGTCAGTGTTTAGCAAGAAGTTCGTTGGCCGGTGTTTGAAGGGGAGCATGAGCTACGGTGAGGAGTGGGGGGTCACGCTCTCCTTGGGGGATCGCTGGGGATCTCTTTCCTACCAAAAGCGTTGCCCCGGCTTCTGGAAACATGGTGGTGGCACTGACGGTGAGCCGAAGGCGCAAGCGGCCGGTGGCTTCCAGGACCAGCCGTGGTCCTCGGGCAGAGGCGGAGAGGTGGCGCGTGGGGATCGTCAGGAGGGGAGGGTGATGTGGGATGAAAGTTGCTCAAATGCCTTTTTCCCCTCTGTTCTCCCTGCTCACAGATAGGCAGACAAAAGGTAAGGCTCTGTGGGTGCTGCTGCGCGGGTGTCCTCCCTGAGGAGGCGATGCCGAGTGGTCGGGGGCTCAGCTGTTTTCTCCTGCGCTAAGCTCCTTTAGCATCTCTCATGAGACAGAAAACACAGCTGTCCTCGAGAGCGGTTTTCCTCTGCCGGCAGTCAGAGGGTGCAATTTCTGTCATCTGGATTTAGTGGCGAGTCAGATGTCAGGAGCACGTGCCAGGGCTGGGGGACGTGGGGGCTGAGGTCTTCACGCCGAGGGGAAAGCGCGGTCCTTTGGAGATGCCGCTAAGTGGCAGGTTTGGGGAGATTCGGCTGCAGCTGGTGGCCTGAGGAGGGACGCTGTACAGCCACGCGTCTGTCCGGTTCACTCCCGTTTGCTTTCAGGCTCTTTGAAAGCTTTAAAAGAAGAAACGAGCTGAGCTGGAATAAAATTGATGGGTGGGCATTAGAGGGAGGGGGCAGCCCATCAGGTCGTGAACGGCCTCTGCTCTCAGGACTTCTCGGGGCCGATTTAAATGCTGGTTTGCGCAAGCCAGCCCCATGTTTTCTTCCTTCAGATGGTTAAGACAAGGGTGTACAGCAGTGTATCGGTGCTGGCCAAGCAGCTCTGACCTCCGCTTTGCTCTCTTTCTCTAACCAGAGCCGCACACCGTTGGCTACAGCCAGTCCAGCCTGATCCACCTGGTGGGACCATCGGACTGCACGCTGCTGGGCTTCGTGCACGGAGGTGAGTGAGTGCTGCCCTGTTCAACGGCTGGGTTGGTTTTTCCCTGGAGCAGAAGCGCGGTTTGAGAGCGACTTGTGCGTCTCGGTGTTTCTGGGAGGCGGGCTCTGCCTCTGAAGGTACACAGGCCCATTTCCACCATCTGTAAGGTTCAGCATTGCTTCAGGTGAGACAAAAGCTTCATCTTTTTCTGTGCTTAAAAAAGGCCCCGAAAATAGACATACTCGAACTGTAAATCCTACAATTTTGTCATCATCTCTTAAATTGCAAATCTCGGATTGTAAACACCCAGCGTACAATGACTGCAATTTGTTGGAGTAATTTCCTCTTGGCTGGCAGTGCCTGTCGCCTGCCGGTTGGGCAGGGCAGGGCAGGGCAGACGCATGCAGAGTGAGCCCAGGGAGAGGCGCGTTTGCTGAGGGCTGGGACGCCGCTGGATGCCGCTCTTCATCTAATTGCATCCTTAAAAAAACCCACCAAAACAACATGGCTCAGAGCTCTTTCCAAGTAGGAGGTTTGTGGGCCTGATCTTGCCTGGCAAGGCTGAGGTTCGCTCAGAGAAATTCAGGAGAACCAGAGCTGGCCTAAATCTTAAGCCCAGGTCTGCGAGGATGTTGCCCTGATGACACTCTTGCCAGAAGTCTTTGTGCTGGTACCAGGGGATTCCTGCAGTTGGGATTCAGTCTCTGGCCTGACTCCTCAGCGTAGCTTTGGTCATGCAAAGGCCTTACAGACCTACGCCTGGCTTTTCCCAAATCCCACCAGCTTCCCTGAGATGGGACCCTCTGTCTCCGCCCCCCCAGGTGTCACCATGAAGCTCATGGATGAGGTTGCCGGGATTGTGGCCGCCCGCCACTGCAAGACCAACATCGTCACCGCCTCGGTGGACGCCATCAACTTCCACGAGAAGATCAAAAAAGGTACCGGGTGTGGTGGCGGGCGCTTTGCTCTCCCGCGGAGCCACGTCCTGGCTCCCTTGGCTGCACGCTCGGGACACACTGGCAGAGAAATTTAGCCCCTGTTAGACTTGTCCTGTGCTGAGAAGCTCCGCTTAAGATGTGGCTTAAGCACAAAACCCGTGGAACGCCTTGCTCCCTTGCTCTGAGCAGAAGCAGGGGCCACCTGCGTAACCGGCCGCTCTCTGCTTTGCAGGCAGCGTCATCACCATTTCGGGGCGCATGACCTTCACGAGCAATAAATCCATGGAAATTGAAGTCTTTGTGGACGCCGACCCATTTGTGGATGAGCCTCGGGAGCGGTACCGTGCTGTCAGCGCCTTCTTCACCTACGTCTCGCTGAGCAAGGAGGGGAAGCCCCTGCCTGTCCCGCAGCTGCTGGTAAGAGCTCTCTCCGCTGGGCTGCTCCCCTTTCCTGCTCCTCCCGGGGCAGACCCCAGCTGGCTTTTTTGTCCAACAAATCTCCTTCCCTTGAATTATTCAGCAGAAAAATACGAGCATGAATGGGCCTTTCCAGAGCAGGCTTCAGGGTTTTGTTTTGTTTTGTTAATTTCTTCTGAAAATTGCCGATGTGGAGATTGGGGATTTTTTTCCTTTCTTGTGGATGAGGCTCTGCAGCTTCCCCTCCTGCTTGCGCTGGAGATGCATGGGAGGGGACCCTGAGTGGCGACGGAGGACCCCGTGTCCCCCGTCCCTGCTCGCCGTGGCATCCCCGCTCCAGCCCTCCTGCCTATTTTTAGCTCTCCTGATCCCAGCAGGGCTTTGCTGATGCGGCGCTGCTGACTGGGGGCTGTTTCTTGATTAATATTTTATCTGTGCAGGTCTCCTCCTGCTCTGTGCAGGAGTACGTTAGCTGTCAAAACATGTATTTCACGCAGCGCAGGTTTTCCTTTACATTTCGCGTAACAGGAGGTGCGTTTCCCTCCCGCACATGCTTGCGAGGTGTGGCGCGGGAGAGCTGCGCTGCCCCGAGGCAGCTAACGCCAGGGCCTTCGCTTTCTTTCTGTCGCCGGCAGACAGAGACGGAGGATGAGAAGCGGCGCTTCGAGGAAGGGAAGGGCAGGTACCTCCAGACGAAAGCCAAGCGGCAGGCGCAGATGCAGCAGGCTGCCCAGCAGTGATCCCACCCCGCGCTCTCGCAGCCTTCACCCGCCAAACGTCCAGGTTCCCGTTAGTGTCGTGTCCGGTCCGCGCCGGGCCTCGCGCCTTCGCCCGCCCCAGCCTGCCGCCAGAGCTGCCGCGGCGGTGCGGTTGCTTCGCTGCTGATCGGTTTAGCATTGTAGACCTCGTGCTTTAGGTGGCTTAAGCGCCCCGAACGCCTCCGGGAGCCTTCCCGGTCACTCGCCATTCGCCTCTGGAGCCCTGTTTTCACCGTTCAATCTCGCAAGCGAAGCTCCTGCCCGTGCCGGAGCGGGGCAGAGGCGCGTGGCAGCACAAGGGACGCGCGAGGCCGTGAGTCTTTGTGGTGCTGTGTTAAACTTGCCAGTTTGTCCTAAAACCGCACACCAAAGCTTACGTACGATACTCGTGACAAGAAACGCGCCCCGGTATCGTACTGAATGTCTTGGACCGTTTTGTTGACATCTCTAGGTAGTTTCTTTGTGCACATCTAAGTTATTTAAGGAATCCTGTGGCATAAATAAAGTCTCTTGTCGTTGACTGAAATAAAACGGGGGTCGCTGTGTCCTTTTTTTGTCTCGAGCAGCAGCAATCCTGGCTGCACCCCCCCCGCCTCCCCCCTGGATCCCGCCGGGGTCCCCGAGCGGCGCAGCGGGCTCCCACCCTTGTTTTTAAGAAAGTTTGCCTCCTTTAATGGGACCCCCAGAACAGCTCCGGCAGCTCAGCAGCCGCCCGGTGTGGATCGCGCCCCCCGGCTGCCGCCCCCCCTCACCCCGGGGCCGGTGT